TACGAGTAACTGTCCATACGAGCAAATGTCCTAGCGAGCAACTGTCCTAGCGAGCAACTGTCCGGTGAGCAAATGTCCGCGCGCAACTATCCTGCGAGCAACTGTCCTGCGAGCAACTGTCCGTTTCCCGATATATTTATTTAATATAATAGAACTTCATATTTACAGTTGTTATATTGATAGCGATAAGAGATGTAAAAGAAAAGGGCAAATAGTACAGGGATCATTTGGTATGTTTTAGAAATGAGTGATACGTATACACAGTTTTACGTATGCAATTCTTATCGGATGAAAAAATGAAATTATTCATCATATTCCAGTTCTCTACTAATCTTTTTTTATGTATGTCTGTTCTATTCATATTGATTGACATTTACATAGTTTATGTTTAAAATGGAATAAATATTTATTCGTCAGACTTATAAACAGCGGACAGTTGAATATATATACTCAATAAAGTTTGCAGCAAGAAATACTGCTAGTATAATGATAACGGGTAGATAACAGAAGAAAAAATATTAGAATTGTAAGTAAAAACAGAAACGTCATTATGTATGGTATTAGAAAGAGAGGAATAAAAAATATATACTAACGAATATCCATCAGTTCGTTTATTGTATTCAATTAATAACAATGTCTTTTCATGAGATGAAAACATCTGAAGAAAGAGATATTGTATGATACACATGTATTTTTTTATAATGTTAGAAGTACTTCAAAAAAAGACGTATCATATAATTATATATTTTTACTTTTTTATTGTACAGAAACATATGACTATAACCAACTTAAAGGTGGATGAGAGATAATTCTAGTACCTACACCCACATCCTCAAGATTTATTTGATGAAGAAGTTCTGGTAGGAAATAATGAAGTACATTAATCTAAGAAAACTAGAACAACAAAATATTGGGTCAGGTATGACAGTACTATGATCAGCTGACATTCACATCCACACTCTCAAATATATATGTAAAGAACTTTGTGTCATGTATATCAAACGGTGCTACCATTTCCATGTTGTATTGTCATCGATAAGCCTGGTTCTACTCGTATCCGGCTATGAAAATATCTTTTCACACGATGAATCCAGTGTCTCCATTCTTTGTGCATTTTAGGTAATGAACTAACTATGGTAAATGGTAATAATTCGTCAATCAAATATATAATATAATAGAAGTAATTGAATTGAATATCGAAAAGAAAGTCTGGTGACCCTAAACTTTGAATAACACCAACTATTACTGCTGGGAAAACACAGATTAAAACCGCTGTCGAAATGAAAACAAGTTGAATGATCATACGTCTTTGACGATTCCACTGTACTGGTTGTTGTCGTTTGATCTTTTGCCATATAACACGACAGAAAAGAAGAAAATTTAAAAGAATAACAATAAAAGTTGGTGTAGCAGCATGAATTAACCAATCAAGACTACCTAAAAGAGGATTCGAAAAAGAATAGCATGGACCTCCACAAAGTATAAGTGTATAATCCCATGAACTTATACACGTTGTTGGAAAAAATATGTTAACAAAATAGAAAAGTGGTGGATATAATAAACATATAGTCAGAGGTATGTAATGAAATAAGATCAAACACCATTGCTTTTTCATCAGTTGAGTATTGAAAACAAATAAATGTCTTTCAATACAACACCATGCTAAAACATATAATGTCATACACAAAATTGAACACGCACACCAATTCCACATTGCACAAAATATATTTGTTTGCTGAACAACCACACTCCATCGAAGATAATATAAGAGGAAAGTTGCATCAGTAATTTTTTCTATGAAACTTAACATAAGTAAACAGAAGATGGCATGATTCTGTGGTGACTTAAGAATCTCCTTTCTCCAATGACGAATAAAATATATGAAGACAAAACAATCACATATTAATGCCGGACCTATTGTAATTTGTAGTAATAAATATTTGATTAATTGAAGTTGTTCATTACCATCAGCCATTGGATAATTCTATTCTGTTGATTATGTATATTTATATCTTGAAAATATTATTTAACAATGATTTTTAACTATTGTGAGTTATGTTCATTGACCTGATACAATAAAAATAGATTCAGTGTAATCTCAGTATTAATTAAAAAGTTTCAACTATATTCTAATTAGAAATGATAAAATACTTTGAAGTATTTTTAATTATCGAAACAGTCTGTCCACTAGCACCTACACAATCATGAAAATTATTCTCTCCAGATTTTTATTAGAAAAATAGTACGTCTGTCAGAGATAGCATATAAATCTGTTGATTGTCAGGAGTGTTCTTGAACTGTCAGAGACAGAGTCACAAAACTATAGAAACATTTCATTTCTGACGACTACTAACAAGCTATTTTAATTATCAAAATACAGTTTACGATCCCGTGTTTCCTAGAACAAACGCGAAAAACAAAGGTTTTTGTGGTATTTTGAAATGGACATTAATTAATTGTTCATTTTTTATTGCCGAAAAATGGATTGTTTATAAACTAATATACAATGATGTACTCATTTTTTATATCGATCTCATGCTGATCATAATCTACTTGCTGAAAGAAGTTTTCAAAAGTATTTTAAAGTCACAATGTTATGTGTTGACTATTCTAAAAAGTATTAGCTGAAGTCTTAAATATCTAAGATTACAATAGAATAGAAGATATATCATGATTTGCATAAATCCATAAATTATATGAGTATTTTATCTTTGTCTTACGTTGTAAACCAAAGATTATGAAAATAAAGTTAGATGCACCTACAGAAAAAATATTTTTATTAAAAAAGTACAAAGTACATAGGCAGTTCTAGCTCAATATAACTATGAATTGTTTCCTCAGGAATGACGTCGTTTCATCACATCCGTTTTTATCTATATATAATTTTTGATAAAAAGAGATGTTTTTTTGTTGCTTTATTTAACTTTAGTTATTCTTAGATGAGAAATGGTAATTTACTTTTAACGGTTTCTGTAAAACAATAAGATAAATACGATAAATCAATTTGAAAAAATATTACTGTTGTTATTTCGTCACTAACATAGAAAAGTACTGGTGAACAATTTATAAATTGTATAATTAATTTAAGTATGAAGTGCATCGTAAGAAACCATATAGGTTTTGAGAGAAATGGAAAATTTCACTAGTTTTGGTGTTTCTATGAAGGTATACATTAATAGATCATCAAAAGAAGAAGAAGAAGTTTTGTTGTTCGTAAAAAATATTTAATGATTAAAAAGGATCTTTTTTATTTAAACATGTACCTGATTATACTAATGACGGCTGGTGACGTAACCTGTAGAATTAATTATATCATACAACTTCATAAAGAAGTCGGAGATTAATTTAACTTTGAAAAATAACTTTTAAATTGGATCTTATTTTTATATCAAGGCAAAATATTATCTATATAAAATACTTTGATGGCATTAATTATGAACTCAAGATAAATTTTCTAATTAATCAATAATAAGAAGATAGTTTGTCATATTCACTTTATTACGTAACGACAGTTATCAGCAGATTCGAGTATTTCCTGCTAGCATTCGCTTGTGTATTTGTGATCGGACAGGAATTGTGAGTGATAGTTGCAGAGTTAACTTTTGCATCGAATTGTGGTCTTTTGAAAAGTTATTGCTGACTAAAAAAGGAGGAGAGGGTGTAGGTTTAGGTGTTCTCCATTTTCTTCATTCACACCTACACCCATACCCACACACACCCTCGTATTTTACCTCAATAAATTCGATATTAGATGATAGTTCTTGAAAATCTCTTTATTTGTTCTAACAAAATTAAAATGTCTAATCAAAAAATGTAAAGAAAGTTTTTCCTACTAATATTTTTTTTTCAAAAAAAAATGACCGACTTTTACAAATAAGACGTTGTCTAAAGTGAAATAACAACAAATAATACTTCTATTAATTGACATGCTACAGTTAATAACAATTATCATATACAAAATATATACAAAAAAAAAAGCAAAAAAAAAGAAGACTAATGTTCATCAGAATATTTTCTTGTATTTATGTAAATTCCACATGACTTTCCCAGAATGCAATAACCGTTTGTGGATATTTTCGATTAGCAACTTTAGCTGACATCCATTGAGTTTCACTTTTGCCAGATAATTTTACACGAAATGATATTCCTTCTTGATCATTTTTAACACCTTCAATTTTTTCAATTAAATCTTCATCATCATTTATTATTTCAGGTGCATCTTGATCATCATCTCCATTCATCGTATTGTCCAATGAAGATTTTTCATTAGTATTATTATTATTATCACTATCATTTAATGCTAATGATATTGATGATGCTGAACTAGGTGTTATACGAAGACGAAGATTTACAGGTGGTTCATTTGTTGTTTGTTCATCAATAACAGTTTCTTTTATTGGAGATGATGATTCATTTAATAATTCAATACTGCTATTATTAGTTTCATCATTTTCAGTATTGATTGTTTCATTTTGTTGAGCATCAGAATCTTTTTCGTTTTCTTTTGTTACTTCACCATTTATACTCTCAGTTTTAGCTAAATAATAATAAAAAGAAAATGAATTGTTTTTAGAATTAATTAAAAACTTACAAGTCGATCGAAGACGAGACTGTGCCACTGGTTCAACATCACTTACTTTTGAATTATCATGTGTATTATTCTGTTCAATAGTATCAATATTATCAGTAGTTGTATTTGCTTCTGTACCATTATCATTATTTATTGATGGTTCTTCATCACTTTGATTATCTTCATCACTTTCAGCAATTTTAGCTTTTTTTGATTTTGTTGTTGTTGTTGTTGTCTTCTTTCTGGATTTTGCTTCAGTTTTTCCATTCGATTTTCGTTCGTTAGGTTTCTTTTTATAACTGTCTTCAAATTCTTTGACTAATTCTGGACAGTTCAAATTATTTTTATCTTCCCACTAAAAACAGAAGAAATTAAAAATTTTGTTGCTCTCAACTTTAGTCGCGATCCTATATTCAGGGACAACTCATTATATTTTGTTTATTAAAAAGCAACCATCTTTTTCCTATCATACAATAATTGATGTGTTAATTCATGTTGAAAGAATTCGACTTTAATTATACGGTATTAATTAATCACCTTTATTTTTACTAAATCTATGTCAATCATTAACATGTTCGTATACTTACAGTATTATCTGCATCTGAATAACCTTTCCATTTAAGAAGATATTGAATTTTTTTGCCTTTTGTACGTTTATCGACAATAGCTTCGACTTGATATTCATTTTCAGATTCCGATTCTTCACTACTTGAATCATGTTCACGAGAACGCTTTTTTGATGATGCATTAACCATTCTATTAGTATTTTATTACTTCGTATATCTAAAATTTAACGAAAATTTTATCAAAATAGTAATGTGTTATAAGTTAACCTTCAAAGCAAATAATCGTATCGTATCATATTTAGACCTTGAAGAAGAAAGGAGAATAATATGAATGGAGCGGTCAAACAATGTTCTATATACGTATTATAAAGTGAAGAGAAAAGACAAATACGAACGAATCCTATGAATGGATATCAGCACATTCATTTTTATATAAACGAAACGAAATGTAAGATGGAAATCGAACACAAAAGACAGATGACGCCAGCATTCATGAATCAACTAAAATATGAAATGTTTTTTTTTATGGAACAAATAACAATTAGAAATATTAGATTATAATCCTATTCAATAGAAATCGAACGTTTCGTATGAAAACAAAATCAATAGATAAGTAATAGACCGATAAGAAATTTCGAAAAAAACGTATTTTATTGCTTTTTTTAAAATGTCAAGTACGTTACATGCTTATCTTCGTAACATTAAACTATCATTGATAGTAAACAATAGTGTTCGCATTGATCCATTATAAACAAAGTTCCAAGAATAAACAAAAATCTTTTATTTTATTTTTAGTTCTTAATAAAAAAATTTAATCTATAATGAAATAGCATCAATTAAAATTTGTTTCATTTTATCTTTCATCATTTCCACTTGTTCGATATTTTCAAAACTATGTTTGCGAAAACTAATAACAATTTTTAAAATATCATTAACAGTTACTGCACTTATTGCAAACACACTGCCTATCACATTTGCTGATTGTGCAAAAGTACCATTCAAGATTTTCCATGGTTGATTATCATCATTTTTAAATGACCAACGAAGTATATTCGATATATCAACACTATTTGCATATCCATTTGGTAAAGTTTTGCGTTGATCTATTATGAATTCATTCCAATTAGAAACAAATTTCAATGTTTGAAGAAATGGTAATATAGCATTATCAATTTCTTCATTTACTTGTTCTTTTATTTGACGAGTCAATGGCCAAAATAAATCTATGAAATTTTCACGATATGGAATATAATGATAAGTATTAGCAGATGAAAGAACAACACCTATTTGTTGATTTGAAATAATCGGTTCACAATATCGACGAATATTTACAGCTACACCGCATAAATATTCCATATTTTTTTTCTCACCAAATATGTCTGAAGTAGCAAGAAGAAGAGAAGATAGTATCGCTGAATTTATTGTTGTTTGTTCAGATCGGCATTTTTTATGTAATGAATCAAGTGTTGTGCTGGGTAATGTAAATGATAGTAAGCATGTTTCATACGGTTCGTTACCATTTAATTGTATATTACCAGTCCAATATTTTTTCGGAAAAAGATATTGACTAACAAAATTTGGTAAAAGAATTTTTTCAACTATTTTCATTATTAATGATGATAGAGGAGGTAAATTTGATGGAATAAGTTCATTTGTTGCTCGATCAGAATTCAGTGAAAAAATAGAAGTTGGTTTTTCGCATAGACATTCAAGAAAAGTTGTGAAAAAAGCCATTCCTGATACACCATCTCCTATTACATGACTGAATGTAAAGATAAAATCAACGATATCACTATTAGATGAAGTAATAAGAACGATACGCCATAAAGGTAAATTTTGATTATAAATAAAACCATTATTAGTTTCATGTTCAAGAGTTTGTCTTAAAAATTCTTCATCGTCATCTGTTCTTTCAATAATTTGAATTGGTAATGTATTAAATACATCCACTGGTAAAATTATATAATATGCTTGTTTTCTCGAACAGTCAATTTGCAGACGTAATCGTGGTTGTGCTTCTATTGTTAAACGTATAGCCTTTTCAATATTTGATTTCCATTCCGAAAGAGAAAATGATGATATATGAAATCGAAGATGACTAAGAACACTCTTATAGAAATCCATCTGATGACGAGCAACAGAATACATTTCCATTGGAGAAATTATTCGATGATCCATCTAAAATGTTTTATTTGGAAATAATAAAAGTTATCTATGTGCTATCGTTTGTTTTTAAAACATGAACAAAAATATACAAGATTAAAATAAAAAGAAAAAATGAGATGTATTTTTATTGATCATTTTCATCTTGTTCTTGTTCGATTTTATGTTGTGCAGCAAAAAGTTTTTGTTGTAAACTTTCAGCAAAACTATTAACATATGATTTCGATTCATTTGTTAAAAGTGCTTGTAATGATTCATAATAAATTTTCGATGGTTGACTTTTATCATCGAAATGATCGCCAACAATACGATAACCTTGTTGAGATAATTCGATGCAAAATTCTTTATTTGCTTTTGATTTTATATTTATATAAGCTGTTGAAATATCTGTAGGATTATTAAGACTTTTTGATAATTGTTTTGTTGCAACAATACCATCACCGACATCATTGATTGCTAATTGTGCTTCAGCAAGAAAATCACCTTGTTCACCTGCTGACGGTTGACTCATGATTTGTTTTTTTTTATAAATCTGAAACATATATTTTAAAATAAATCTTGATTAATTCATTATGATATGTCGAATACATAAGAGTAAAGGTCGAAGGTTACTGAATGATGTGGATCAAAATAACGAGAGCGAGAATGCAGAAGATATCAAAGAACCATATCTACTAGCATGCCTTCAAGATATAAAGATAAAACCATGGCTCTTCTCATAGAAAAAATATTTTAAATAGTACTAAGGCACTAGTAAATGATTAATTCCAGTTTAAGATACCATTCATTTCTTAAAAGCAACATATATATTTTGCTAGTATTATTTCGACTTCTAACAATGTTACGGCAGTCAATAAACTAGATATTAAATATTGTTCATTAGTTGATGCATTCACATAAATCAAATTTTGTAAATACAGAATATACAATAACAAGTCATTCATCAATTTTTCATTATATACTATGACTATTGACTTTTTTCATTTTACGGTTAAAAAGTGATCGCATGATTCATCAGTTTAATTTTAACCAATCCGTATTTAATGGTATTTAATGACCTCTAACAAACAGTTGAATGAGAAGAGGCTGTTGCTAGTAGACGAAGTGTGATGATGAACAATATTTTTCATATTTTGCAAACACTCAAGTTTTGTTCTTCTATAGATCGCAGCTATGGTAAGTTTTATATTAATTATATTAAAATACTGTAAAAAAGAAGAATTTTATTAGAAAAAATACTAACTTTTAATCATTCAATAGTTTTCCTATACTTGTTCTCTTATTCTATATTTTAGGCACCAAAAAAGAAAGGTGGCAAGAAGAAAAAGAAAGCATCGAAAGGACCAACCATCATCGATGGCCGTCCAGCTTCTGAGGTAAATTAATTAAATATTTTCTATATTGATTTTATCTTATACATATATTTATAGATGACAAAAGAAGAGTTAGAAGAACATTTAGGTCGAATACGTGAAGAATTAGATCGCGAACGTGAAGAACGTAATTATTTTCAACTTGAGCGTGATCGTATAAGCACATTTTGGGAAATAACCAAACGACAACTCGATGAAAAAAAAGCTGAATTAAGAAATAAAGATCGAGAATTAGAAGATGCCGAAGAACAACATCAAGCTGAAATTAAAGTAAGATTGCAATATCCAATAGAGCTTTCTGTGTTTTTTTTGCAATTACTAAAATTTAAATATCTATGTACTGTATCCCCGCTGTTTTTTAGCGTTAATTATTTCAATACTTTTTCCTCTATTAATTTACTTTTAGAGTTTCCTGTATAGTTCCTCTCTAGGCTATTTAAAGATACACTACTTAATTCTACATGAAAGAATCCGTTAGAAAATTACGCGGAGAAGGGTGATACCATAATTAACATATTTTTTAAAATTAATACTTACGGAAATTTACTATTCCCTTTGATTTCAAACAACATATCTGTATTCTTAACTTAGAAAAGCTACGGGACTTGTCAAACACAAATATGAAGTTCATTTTGTCTCTTATTTATATTGATAAATAACATACTTGACCTATTTTCCCGGTAATCTCATAATAATAATCAAATTATCATTGTCCTTCACTCTCTTTCTAAATTTTGCATATCAAACCATCTCGATGAATTTTACTGATGAGGTGAAGGCAATGGTAACTAGATTATGTTCTGAATTTCAAGGAATTTGTTTTAATATAAAACAGCATTTATACATAATGTCGGCTCATTGTCTTTATTTTAATTTTATTTAAAAATTAGGTTTATAAACAAAAAGTAAAACATTTACTTTATGAACAACAAAATAATATCTCAGAATTAAAAGCTGAAACTCTAGCTGAATTAAAAGTTGCACAAGAAACTCATAATGAAACAGAAAATTCAACATGGAAAGAAAAACGTGAACTTAAAGTTCAGATGAAAGATCAAGAATTAGCTCAACAAGAAGTTGTACGAAATTTGAAAAAGGTTAATAGAATTTATTATTCGAATTTTTTTCATAAATCAAATAATATTTGTTTCTTAGACAAATGAAACATATATTTCCAAATTACGTGATGATTTTCTTCGACAAGCTCGTGAAATTGAAGAAAAATACGAGAAAAAATTACGTGATCTTCGTGAAGAAATGGAATTACGTCGTAAAACAGAAATTCATGAAATTGAAGAACGAAAAAATCAACAGATCAACGATCTTTTACGTAATCATGAAAAAGCTTTTAGTGATATTAAAAATTATTATAATGATATTACATTAAATAATCT